ACCTGGTAGAGCCCAGTCCAGATCCACTATGTAAATCTTTCTGGTCTTCTGTACACCTCTGAGGGCCAGCAAACTCCTTCCCCCTCTAGTCCTCAAGGGGAGTTTGCCCCTTTCAGAGTGGTTATAAGATGCTTGAGACCTGTATGGCCAGTGTCCCTCATTCTTCACCCAGTAGGTGAATTTAAGTGAGTACTGCCTTACATGAAAAACACTCAAGCTGGCCCTGAACCCTCTTCATCACCTTCTCTTCTCCTGAGGAAAAATAGATAATACTCTTATATAGAAATACGCCTTCTAGTGGTCACCCTTCCCCCTGCAGTTTCAAATATCACTTACAGTTGCAAGGCAATTCCCTTACGTCCCCCAGTGGGTGCTAGCTGTTTTGCAGGCACTGAACAGGCTAGAGACTTTGGGCAGTAAAACAGCTTAGGGTAATTAGCCCTTAAATGGGGTCAGTCTCCCACTGGACACATTCATTTTGCCCACCTACTGTTTTTTTTTTTTTTTTTAACAATATACATTTATTGTCTATTTTGTACCAGGCACCAGGAAGTGCCAGGGTGGGGACCAAAATACAAGTCCTTGCCCTTGAAAAACAATCTGTTCCTGGAAGGGTAGATTCAGTAGACTGACTGGGAGGGCTTGGGAAGGACCCAGGCAAGCACAGCATCCACCAGGCTGGCTGGCAGGTAGGAAGCAGGCAGCCAGAGCAGCTTGGCGTCCCAGCCTGGGCTGTAGCGGGTTCGGGGGTGACAAGCAGTCAGGGCATGCTCCACACATCTGCTCACCTTGGTTAGGTCCGGGTCACAGATCAGGTTCATGATGCGCCGCTGCACTTTCAGGTCTGCAGCCCCGTGAATGGTTGCAGTTAGCATCTTTTCCTGACTCCATCCCATCTTAGGTCCTATTTTCTAGATCCTTGGGCTTGTTGCCCAGTAGAGATGACTCTTAAGTTCCTTCTCTATTTTGGGGAATGGGCAGGTTCTAACTGGCCTAGACACTTTCCTGGGGCCTTCCATTTATAAGCTTGCCCACCTCCTCCTCCCAGCTGATGAGGGTCTGGCCTTACTGGCCCTCTCATTTCTCTTCATGTACCCCTATATGTGCCCAGCTACTCACACTTGGTAAGGAAGGCCTCCCCATAGTGAGCCTGTGTGGCTGGAGGTAGTCGCGCCCAGCAGGCCTGCAGGGTGTTCTCCAAATTCTCCAGGCTGGTCACAGGGGTTCGGAAGAAGCCAGGCTCCACGATGGAGACTTGTACCCCAAAAGAAGCCACATCCCGCCTGGAGTATGGGTAGAGAGGTTTCTGGGTTCTTGCTCTATAGGGAGGGTACTTTCAGGAACATAGGTGGGGAATCTAAGATGGACAGTTATCACAGGCTAGGGATATGAGTCCTGGTAAAAAGAGAGATCCCTGCTGTTCTGAGACAAGGGGCAAGTGGGTAATGGAAGGGAGGTATTGTGTAGGATGGAAGTCAAACCCAGGAGATTGTGTATGCTAGTCCAGTGTGTTATCACTGAGTTATGCCCCTACCCAGAGGGAGGTATTTTTTCCTATCTATAATTTAGAGCAAGGGCCAGAAAACTTTATTAAAAGGCCTGATAGCAAATATTTTGGGTGCTGCAGGCCAAGAAACAAAGTTAATGATATTACTAGGTAGTTATATAACCATTTACAAAGTAACTCTTTAAAAATGCAAAAACCATTATTGGCAAGATTTGGCCTGAGAAAGGCTGCTTGCCAATCTTGATCTAAAGAAACCCCATTCCCTAGCTCCCAAAACATGGGATTACATGGACATGTAATCTAATGGGGAGAGTAGTGATATATCCCACTGCCCTTGCCCAGATGTACAGTTCTAAGTAAAAAGTATGTGTTACATGATGCCAATTACAAAATTAAAGACCAAGAGCGCTTGCTTTGCATATGTGAAGTACTGGGTTTGATCCTCAGCACCACATAAAAATAAAAAAACAAAATAAAGATATTGTGCCCACGTATAACTAAAAATTATTTTTTTAAAAAATTAAAGACTAAGGGACAAGGACAAAAATGATCTGCTGAGTGATGGTGGTTAGGGCAAGCTTTCTTTTTTTTTTTTTAATTTTTTAATACTTATTTATTAGTTTTCGGCGGACACAACATCTTTTGTTTGTATGTGGTGCTGAGGATCGAACCTGGGCCGCACGCATGCCAGGCGAGTGTGCTACGGCTTGAGCCACATCCCAGCCCCAGGGCAAGCTTTCTTAAAAGGTGGGCTCAGCTTGTATAACTTGGGCTTCTGCTTTAAATTCAGGCCCTGCTATCCTTATCAAGACTCCTTTGTGCTTCCATGGAGCTTTTGAACATTATTGTTTAAAGATGAAGGGCTGAAGAACATAATGACCAAGCTCCAGAGACAAGCAGACCTGGGGATGGAGATCCCAGTACTTCCACTAACGAGCTTTGTATTAATATCTAACTTTATAGGATTGTTGGAAGGATTAAATGAGAAAATGTAATGTAAAGCTACTTGCTCATTCAAATAGCTGTTAGTAGTTTTCCTTCTTTACTCCTGATGATACCAGGGTTTTTTTTTTGAACATTTACTATGTTGGGTTCTTCCATGTACCTCATTTCATTCCCAATATCCATGAGGCATGTCTTCTTATCCTGATTTAACAGGTGAGGAAAGACGGGATAAAGATAGTAACCTATCTAAGGTCATAAAGCTTACAAACAAGCTGGGTTATGAACCTATAAGTCCAGCCCTAACCTGTCTCCTTGTCAACCTTCCATGGTGTTGTCCTAATCATCTCTGTGGATCAATGCCAAACAGGCACTAACATGAATGTTGAGTGGGCTGCCCCTTGGCTTGGAGTCCAGAGCTCTGCACCCCTCACCTCAGGCTGTCAGAGAAGGCCTCCAGGCCAAACTTGGAGACACAGTAGCCCCCGCCATTGGCTGCCAGGCGACCCAGGACGCTGGTGATGTTGATCACCCGGCCTCGGGCCCGCTGTAGCAGCGGCAATAGGGCAAGGGTGACCCCGATAGGACCCAGAGTGTTCACATTCAGCACCCGATGGAAATCATCCCATGGCAGCCATGGTGTGGGTCCGATGATACCAGCCACACCGGCATTATTCACCAGACCAAAAAGCCCTGTGGGGAGACGAGATGGGTTTTGTGTGTGTGTGTTGGGGGGGAATGAGACACTTCCATGTCCTCTCCTTCATGGGAGGATCTGAACACTGCTCCTCCCCACTGGTCCCTCTAGCTTCCCACAGCTCTTGCAAGGGACTCTGGGGGTTATTGTGGGGACCAGGAACACCCCATACCATGTTCCTGGTGGCTCTACCATACTCACCTGCTTCCCTAACATGTGTCTCCACCCATTTGGCTACCCGCTGGACACTTTGGGGATCAGTGACATCCAGCAGGGTAGTGTGGAGGCGGGAGGAGGCCATCTGCTGTAGGTTCTCTGCCCCAGAGGGGGTCAGGCAGCTGGCCAAGACTCGGAAGCCCCTCTGGTCCAGTCGTAGTGCCAGAAGGCGCCCGAAGCCTGAGTCACAGCCGGTGATGAAGACGAAGGCATCGCTGGCAGGCAGGCTTTGCCGGTCCCTCAGAAACCACAGCACTGCCCAGAACAAGGCACCCAGCAACAGAAGTAGCCACATGGCTGGACCCAAATGACCTGCAGGTGGTAGCCCAAGCTGGGCAGGAAGACTTGTTCTTTATTTTGGCCCCAAAGCCTGGGCCTCTAACATCCTCCTTAGCTAACATGTCTGGTCTGAGCAGATTGAGAAATTATCTGATTGGCAGATAATTGGCCAAGTATGGCTTATTGTGCAAAACAAAGATGTGGGCAGACCCTATATTTGTGGCTAACTAAAAAGATGAGCTAGGTTCTGTGTGCAGACCTGCCCCATGGGAACAGAGGGATCTTGTTTGTTCTCACACCTTTTCTCCTACTAAACCAGGGGCACTGGAAACCTCTAAGTGTAACCTGAGCCTTATTTATACAACCACATATAGGGCTAAGAGCCCTGCATTTCAGTCATGATGGCCCCAAACTTGCTGTGTAATGGTAGGTATCTTTCTGCATCTCTGAACCTATTTTCTCATCTAGCAAGCTGGGTTACCACCCACCAGGCCCACTCAGAATTGTGGAGGATCAGAGATAATGTGTGAGGAAGCATATCCAGTCTTCCTATAGCACCCACAACTCCCACTGTCCCACTTACCTACTCTGGGGAAAGCTGGTAGATATTACAACGTGTGAAGCTGCTCCCTTTGTTTCTGTTTAAGAGACTTTGCTTTCGGTCTTCCCAGTCTCCCACACTAGCAGCAGCTAAGCCCAAAGTCCAGAGTGGGTGGACTTGGGCGTCAGGAGTGTTAAGTGTAAGTGTGATGAGAAAGGGGAGGGCTGAGGAGGAGGAGCTAGGGAGGCTGGAGCCTATCTGACTGAAGCTAGGGTTTGGCAGAAGCCAGATTTGCCCAGGCTACCTCCTGGGCTGTCTTTCTCAGCCTGGGTTCCTGATCATTTATGCCATGGTCTCCCAGGAAGAGGAAGCTGTCAAGGATGGCAGCTTCTCCTCTCTGTTGGTGGCCCTGAAATTGTCATTCCTCTCCCTTCTCTGTCCTGAAGTGCCCCCAAGAATTAATCTCTCACCTGGTTCAGACTCATGATACTGCTTAGTGCCAGCCTGGGAGACGCCGCGAGCACGTGGAAAGGCAGAAAGCCAGAGCTGGGAAATAGGACTGCTCCTTGTCTTATTTCTCCTCTGCAGGAAACTGAAGTTTGGGACTAGGAAGCATGGGGCAGGAATCACCAGGACCTTCTCTCCAGAGGTGTGGAAAACTTCCCACCCTCTGCTAACCCAAAAGGTACTTGTATGGGATTGTAAAGATGAAGCTAGTTCCACCCTCTATCAGAAAGGCCCCTCTCCCTCAGGGAAACCTCTGAATCCTTTACTTCCATCCTCACACTGAAGCTAGTAGTTCCTTGACACACACCACATAGAAATGGACACTTCAGTTTTATTCATCGGTTACCTGTCAGTCTCCCTCCTGCCTCTGTGGGTGAGGCATGAGGGGTCGGATAGAGGGGCTAGGAGGGGGCAGACTGTAGCTGTCCTTTGTAGACATATTCCAGTGCAGTGGCAATTGTGCGCATATCCAGTTCGATGCTCCGAGCCCAGTTCTCCACATCCCCTATTTCCTGGGAAGGATGACAGGAGGGATGGAATCCAGGAATCAGGATGGGTAGGGTAGGTAGAGTGTTTCCCAGTGTGGGAACATTTTTTTTATTCATCTGGAAAGGTCTTTACTTGGATCTACTAATGGACTAATGGACTGTATTTCTTTTTTTTTTTTTTTTTGGTAGTAGATTGAACTCAGGGACGCTCTACTACTGAGCTATATCCCCAGCCCTTTTAAAAGAACTTTAAATCTTGAGACAGGGTCTCACTAAGTTGTTGAGGCTGGCCTAGAACTTATGATCCTTTTGCCTCAGCCTCCCATGTTGCTGGGATTACAGGAGTCTGTCACTGCACCTAGCTCTTTTCTTTTTTTTTTTTTAATAATACTTATTTTTTAGTTTTCGGCAGAAACAACATCTTTGTTTGTATGTGGTGCTGAGGATCGAACCTGGGCCGCATGCATGCCAGGCCAGCGCGCTACCGCTTGAGCCACATCCCCAGCCCCTCTTTTCTTTCTTTTTTGTCCAGATTGGCCTTCCCACCCTCTGCTAACCCAAAAGGTCTTCCTGCCTCAACCCTTTTGAGTAGCTGGGACTATAGGTGTACTTCACAGAACTGGGGATGTTCTGAGTACTTTTTCTTTTTGGTACCAAGGTTTGAACCCCATTTTTATATATTAGTTAGAGACAGGGTCTTGCTGAGTTGCTTAGGGCCTCACTAAGTTGCCGAAATTGTCTTTGAACTCTCCATCCTCCTGCCTCAGAGCTGCTGGGATTATAGGCATGTGCCACTGTGCCCCGCTGAGCACTTTTTCTTTCTTTCTTTTTTGTTAGTTTAGGGATTGGCCCTCTACTAATGAGCTACTTCTACCACCCAGCCTCTGCTTTTATTTCTTTCTTTAGCTTCTCTGACACTGTAATCATAGACGAAGTACCTGGGACAATACCCACTTCCTCCTTAATCCAAGGCCTGAGGTAATCAGACTGGAGGCAGCTATTGAGGGTTCTGATAGGGTTGTGACATGGGGAGTGTGGCCCACCTTTAGTGCTTGGTTGAAGTTCTCCACCATCCCGATCCACTGGCCTGTCTGCTTGGCAAATTGGGCAGCCTGGACCTGAAGGGTCTTCACCTCATGGTCCAGCTTTCTTTGGTTCATGTAGGCCTGGGCCACACTAAGGGTTGGAGGAGGGAGGCGATTAGCTCATCCAACTTGTGGGCGGGTGGTCTCCAGAACTAATATTCCACTGTATTTGGGAGGCCAGTTAGGAGTTAGGGCTGGGAAAATCTTAAGATTTTGGCTCTTCATATATGTGATGCAAATGACTACCAGTACATGCAAATGAAGCCAGCTCTTTACTCCACTCCCAGGATTCCCAGGAGAGCCAAGTTTTGGGAGCTGACTAGAAACATACCATCTCCTATTCCCCAAAGGAGTTCCTGCAGCTGGGTGGGGGGAAGGGAGGGTTAACCTGGTGGGACATCCCTGAGGGAAATGAGGGTATGGTGATGCTGGGAAAATCTTGCAGCAGGGACACATCTGGCAATGACTGGAAGTCCAGGGATCTGTGCAAGAAGTTGGGAAGAGAATTGGGCCCCTCTCTGAATCTGGGGTGGGGTGGGAGAGCAACCCCCTCTCCCCAGAAACCCTGGGTCAGGAGAGAATATCAAGGGGTTTCTTCTTGGATCTCTCCTCTAACTCTTCTTTCGCCCACACAGATGAAAGAAAACACACACACTGCCTCTCTTCTTCTCCAGGCAATCATTTTCTCTTCTCCTTAACCAAGGTTAACTGGCTGCAGTTACCATTGCTATTACTGGGTTGGTGTCCCCAATCCTCTAACAATGTTTTTTTGCTTCCACCTCCCCTGCAATGATTATTCGCCCTTCCTTATTGGCCAATTAATCTTTCACCCCCCCTACCCCAAAGCTCTAGGTCAGCCAGGAGAATACACATCCGGTGCCCCCACCCACTGGAATGTGTGGGGGCTGAAGGAGACAAGGGATGGGGGAGGTCACGAGAGTGGGCAGGACACCTGACAAGGGCTGAGATAAACTGAGTCTTTGTTTTTCTTTCTGGGGAATAAGAGGAGCCGTGGGCAGCAACACAAAACCCTTTCTAATCTGGCTTTGGCTTAGCTGCCCTCCAAGCTGAAAGTGGGGTGGCTTCTAGAAAAGAGAAGAGAAAAAAGCCTGGGCCAACTGCACAAATGGTGGCACAGCACAGCCCAGGAGGTGCCAATGTGGGAGGGAGAGGAGACAAAAACCTGCCCCTCCTCTTTGGGAAACAGCACTGAGTGCAGAGAGCTGCCTGGAGGGAAGGGAAATTAGAGGTCACAGCCACAGCCTTCCTTTTCCCTCATCTCCCCCCAGATGAGTAATGAAGATGACCCCAGCCCCTGCATGACTCCCTAGGATGACTCAGTCTCTGGATTCACAACCAAGCTCTTTCACTTGCCCTAGGGTGGAAGGCACCACACTGCCTCCTTTCTTCCAACAGAGGATCAAATCAAAACCTCTGAACTCTTCTGGGTCACTCAGGGTCAGGAGACAATGTTCTTTGTTCCTTCCCAAGTCTTTGGCGATTATTGGCATTCTCATTTAAGGCTGGGGTAGGGGGTCATCTCTGGAGACTCAGAAGGAGGCTAAGAGACAGCCTGGCTCTGCCCTAGCTCCTGGCATAGGTTCCACCTTCACCCCCACCAGCTGTGCCATCCCTTTCCTGCCAGCTGTTGCTCAGGCTTGCCAGAGGGTGGGAGGTGAAGAAGGAGAGGGTGGTAAGCTGTGGTGAAGGAGGGTGTTCTCTCTCCCACAGAAGTGACAGCTGGACTTGGAAGGGCAAAGGGATGTGGGCAGATGGCATCACGTTGTTAAGTGCCAGGCAAGTTAATGTGAGGAGGGGGAAATCTGGCTGCTTCTCCAACCACGGCAGCTGCTCCTCCGTTGCACCGTGTTAGCCGTCAGAGCTGACTCCAACCTCTCTCCACAAAGTTGAACTGAGAGGTCAGGGTAGGATAGGGGAACAAATGGAACATCCCAACCCTTTAAAACAGCCTAAGGGTCAGACACCTTGTTAGTGTCTGACTTGGGGGAGGGTCGGGGAGGGAGCCGGTGTTCATAGGAAGAGGTTCATACCCCACATTGAGGTGATCCACCAAAGCTTCTGTCAGGCAGGTCGCTGCAGTGATAGCCTCGCGCCTCCTCTTCTCTGGGTGTGGGGGAAAAGGGATTGGAAACATGGTTTTTGAGGGTGGTGCCAAGAGTTCCTCACCCACCCATTACTATTCTGCTAGTTCCCCAAACATCCAACTAATCTGGGAATGCCCTAGCCGAAAAGGATCTTGCAAAACATAAAGCAATCTCATTTAATTTTGGAGATGAGAAAATACCCTGAGAGGGGAAGGGAAGCGCTCAGGGATGCCAACCAGTCAGTTCCAGCGCCCAGGACTCCTGACTCCCAGGCCTCCTTTCTCCACTGATTTGGCTAAAGGATCTGTAACTCTGGGATTCCCAGACTAGATTCAGGAAAAGCAGTGCCTCATCTCCTCCTGGGTGGTTTCGGGCCTCCTAGAATCCAGTCTCTGGGAGGTCCCTGACACACTCCTCTCTCAGGACAGTCCCTTCCCACTTCCAGTATGAGAGGCTCCCCCGGACCAATGGCAAGGCGCCCCTGAGCAAGGGGCGGGGTTAGGATGACGCCAAGGCGGGATTGGGGGCGTTGCCGAGGGGACTGGAGAGTTGCCAAAAGGACCGGAGACTGTGGGTCCCGGAACGAAATTCCAAAAAAGCCGCCCCCTATTCTCTCTCCTCCACCCCCGCTGCCCGTCAGCCCTAGCCCTTCCCTGGATCTGGGCTGTTACTTGAGGTCTAGGCCTCCGGTAGAAGCTAGGCCGCGGCCGGGGAGGAAAAGGCCGACAGGAGATTCGGCTCACCCTGCAGCTCCTTGCGCTCATTCTGCTTGGCCTGGTGTTCTTTGAGCAGGCGGGACAGCATGGTCGTGACGGGGCTGGGGGTTGGGCACGCCGGCCCCCCTCCTGCTGCCGGAGCTGGAATGCACCTCGGTTCCTGCGGGGCCGGGGTCACGTGACCGCAACGTCACGTGAGGTCGGGAACCGCCCTCTTTTAGAGATGTGGGATGGTTGGTTAGGAAAGAGGATCTTAACGATTCCAACCCTAGAGGATTGGCACAGCCGGTGAGCCCTTTTCTTTATTGGGTGCTCACTCTGTTGAGTGTTGGAAGGAGTTTTCTTTAGTGCCCATATTGCAGAGCCAGTTTTTAACATCTCTCTGGCTCTCAGGCGTTGCCAGGCTGTCCATCACGGTTCGGTTGTTGGGGCGGCCGAGGCTCCCTCGGCTCATTGAAATTCTTTTCGTTCCCTCGCCCTACCTCCTGGCAGTACTGAACAGTTCTCAGTTGATTCCCAACTCCCTCTCTCTAGAAGAGAACGCTTTCGTCTTTTCCAGCCCTTTCTCTTCTCACCACGCTGCCGAGGTCCCTCAATTCTCAATATAGAGAAGCATTTTATGCCCTTCAAGAGGCCTTCTAAGGAGGTTTGCTAACTTGGCGGACTCTGTGTGGTGAATGTGCAATTCCATCTCTGTCCTTTTGTGGTCAGGGAATGCGAAGTGCTGTGGCCAAAGTAAAAGGTAAATTATACAACGCCTCTCTGAACTGTAGAAGAATGTTTCCAGGATTAACGCCAACAAGAAAAATTATAAACATCATCAATATATTGCTGTTGCTACAATGACTATTGGTATATCTTCTTCTTCTTTTCCTTTCTTTAATAAAAGAAACTTTGTTTAGAGATGAGGGGGTCTCGCTTTGTTGCCCAGGCTAGTCTCGAATTTGCCATTCTACTGCCTCAGTCTCCTAAATACTGGCATCCAGCTCTTGGTGGATCTTAACATGCTGAGTGACTTTGGGCAGTTTGCTTACCCACTCTGGATTTTAGTTTTCTTTTTAATAAAATAGGGGGATTGTATTAAATCAGTGATTCTCAACCCTGACTAAACACTAGAATCACATGGGAGAGCTTTCAATTATTTATTTTTGGATACTGGGTATTGAACCCAGGGACTCTCCACCACATCCCAGCTTCTTAAAAAGAAAAAAAAAAAAAAAAAAAAAAGAAAGAAAGAAAAGAAAAGAAAAAAAAGGGTCTCGCTAAATTGCTGAGGCTGGCCTCAAACTTGGTGATTCTTCTGTCCCAGCCTTCAGAGTAAATGGGGTTATAGATGTGTACTACTATGGAGGTCCATGTGGGAGCTTTAAAAAATTCCTTGATCTCAAGTTTATTAAATAGATTCTCAAGAGGTGAAGCCCAGACATTAGTATTTTATAGGATGTGTGATTCTAATGTGCACTCAGTGTTTAGAATCACTGGGCTAAACCACATCTAAGACTTTCCAACTTTGACATGAACACATTTTATGATTCAGTGGCATAATTAAACTTATTTCATTATATCTACTATCAGGGGAGGATAAATGAGTACTGGTTGAGTTAGAATAAAACATTCTTATGAATTTTCTGAATAAGAGTTAAAAATTACTGATTGTTTGGTCAATTCAGCTATATCCAGAATAATACCCTAAATCCTGAAAGATGTGCAACCATCAAATTATAAGTGAGGAGAAGCATATGAAATGGTTAAGTGGCCACATAACGCAGAACATTAAGTGACAAAATACAAATTTTAAATAGCAGTTGGGGTGTAGCTCAATGGTAGAGTTTGCCTGGAATGTGGGAGGCCCTGGGTTCCATCTCCAGCACTACTGCCCACCCCCCTCAAAAAAGATCTAAGTAAAAGTGTTGGATACTTTGTATGTAAGTGTCTGTGTGCTCATCTATATACTAGGAACATTTCCCCAACATTTCCTGAGTATTTACAAGAGATTAAACACTTTACATGTTTTAATTTATTTAATCCCTGGAACAAACCTGTGAAGTATCATTATCATCTGTAGTTTGTGAAGGGAAAATCTGAGGTATGGAGTATCTAAGTAATGAAGCTATCAGTGTAGGGCTAGGATACCCTTCAGGCTCTGACTCCACAGCCTGAGTGTGACCACTCTATATAGCATATTAATGGGAGAAATCCCAGGAGGAGAGGCCCAGATGCATTTCTCAAGGAAGCTCCCCGTCTGGTCATCATGCCCCTCTAGCTTGCTGGGCATGAGCTGGAGGGAATCCTGGCAAGGGTGGAGCTTTTGGGAAGAGGCTCTTCTCCAGAGAAGGGCTGATCAATAGAAGCGGGAAGAGTGAGAGCATCACAGGGCAGCGTGGCCCAGTCCTCCCCCCTCTCTGGCTCCTGCTTCCAACTGCAGTGAGCAAGCAAAATAGAGGCAGGTTGGAAGGTGCCTGGTGTTTCATTCCAAGTTGGGGGACTTGGGAGGGAAGGACATGGGTTGGCAGGGGTACCAGAGATGGTGACATGGTACAAGTGAAACACAAGGTGAAGGGGGTTAGTGTTGGGGGCTTCAGGGATAAGTGCGAAAAGATTAGGCTGACTCAGGGAGAGTGTCAGGCTCATCTTCTCTTACCCTCACCCCTCTTGGCATACCTCCCAACATTTTCACAATTAGGGTAGAGACAGCATAGATTCTGCAGTCATTAGCCCTGGCTACCTCTCCTATGGTACACTGGCTGTTCCTTTGCCCTAGAGTTGGACGATGGACATGGGGTACCTTTATCTGGTGACCCCGTCTGATCTCTCCAGGGTAATCCTCCATCTTTTCTTTTCCCAGGTCCTTGTTGTTCACTGTCTAACATCAGTTTCTGTTGTGGGTGAAGCTCTGATCCACCTTCCTGTGGTAGAGATGAAAACAAGTTGCATGTATATCCAGAGACTGAATCTTGAAATTTGAAGTCTCCTTTCTGCCTACCTCTCCCTACAACCTCGTACCCAGATTCTTTTCCCTTAGATGGAATGAATGCAACTCCATGGTCATGTTTCCACTAATTTCCCTATTCCTTGGAGATAACTCTTAGAATTAGTTTTTTTTTTTTTTTGTACCAAGAATTAAACTCAGGAGCACTCAACCACTGAGCCACATTGCCACCCCTTTTTGTAATTTATTTAGACACAGGGTCCACTGAGTTGCTTAGGGCCTCATTAAGTTGCAGAGGCTGGCTTTGAACTTGCGAGCCTCCTGCCTCAGCCTCTGGTGCTGCTGGAATTACAGGTGTTTTCCACTGCATCCGGCTTAGAATTAGTTTTAATTAGCAAGCTCCAAACTGATTGACTGGGAAAGCACTAGGGCTGGAAGTTGCTGAGTTGTTAGGGGTTAGGTGAGGACTGAGAGAGGCCCTGGAGGAAGTGGAGAAGACTTTGCATACTGGGAAATCTGGCTGGGCTTCAAGTGAGGGGGCTGTTGGTGGTGTGGCCAAGTTCCAAATGTTGGCTTGAAGCCAGGGCTCAAAGAAAAGGGGCCCTCAAGATGGTCTAAATGGCTCCCTGTGGGAAGTGACCTTCCAGTCCTCTACCCAAGATGCAAGAGTATTTCTTAGACCCTCAAAGACCAGAACGGTCAAGCCATTTCCCCATAGACTCCCCTCAATCACATTTATGTTCTTTCTCTTACAGCCACTCCCAGAGTTCAAGCTTTGGCTACAGCCAGCATTTAGAGGCAGGCAGGAGGATTCCAGTGCTGGAGAGGTGGGTGGGGTGAGAAAGTCTTCATGCTGTGTATTTTGAGGAGGGAAAGCCTGACCCTGGGACCTATGCTTCAAGTCTTTGTTGCCAAATGAGAAGGAGGGAGAAGTTAACTCTGGAGTGTGTGTTCTGGAAGTGTTTGTTTGTAAGCTAGAGACAAACTGGAAAATTGTGGTCTGGGGAGCTGAAATATAGGGATCCCAGATGGAGGGGAACGAAGGAAGGGGGGAGGGAATGGAGAAATCCTTATTTTCCTCACTCAGACAAAGGCCAAAGTCTTTGCTGGGTCTGGACATTTCTCAATTTTTAAAGAATTTTGAAATTATTTTGAAATAATTTTAAACTCAGAGGAAGTTGCAAAAAATAGTGCATGAGGTCCCTTTATTCAGTTTCCCCCAATGGTGACATCATATATAACTGGTAGTGCAATATTAAAACCAGGAATTTGACATTGGTACAGAATTGTTAAGTAGCCCACAGCCTTATTCAATTTTCACCATTCACACATGCATTCATTTGTGTGTATGTGGCACTATGCAGTTTTATCGCATGTATAGAATCAGCTCAACCCCAAGTAGATGAATAGAATTCCCCTAAAGCAGTATTGAGACCAGAATGTTGGAGTGGAGCATAATATTGTATTGAGAATTGAATTAAATAGCTCAGTGATAGAGCACCTGTCTATTGTGCACAAGATGTAAGACCCTGGGTTCAATCCCCAACCCTCCAAACCAACAAAAAACAACCCTCCAAAGTACTGATGCTACATTATTCCTGCATAATTCCACTCATATAACATTTTCAAGTGACAAAACTGTATAGATGAAGAACATATTAGTAGTTTCCAGGTCACAAAGATGGAAGGATGGGTCCATTATAAAGGGATAGCAGGAGAACATAAGGGATCTCCTTTATGGAATTGAGTTCTGTATCTTGATTATGCTCCATTTCAACATTATGGTCTCAATTCTGCTTTAGGGAAAATCTACTTGTCTAAATTTACTAGTCTGGTCCAGTGTTCTTGTGAGTTACCAGCACTCCCTTGCCCCACTATTTATAGACAGGCTAATTTTGGGTGGCCAATCTCTGTTCTACTTTTTCCTTCTGTGGCATGTGAGGTGACTTCTCAAATATTTGGGCAGAGGAGGTCAGATGCAGATTCTTGGCATTTGATTTCACCCTTAGATTTATCAGAAGCCAGGGAAGTGGAAATGGAGGCAGGCAGAAGCAGCAGGTGCAGGGAGGAAGGTGGCTGGGACACTAAAGGTTTTATGGCCTGAGTTGGAGGGAGTTAGAAGTCCTGGGTTCTATCCTGATTTTGCTATTCTGCATTCTCTTACCAGCTCCTCTCTACTGTCAGGGGCTCTGAGAAAACAGATGGAGAGGGCATATCTGGGGAATAATGAAAGTAGAATACTGGTCAGCAC